CAAAGAGCCGAATCGCCATTCACACAGATTGCATTTAAAAACATATGAGACGCAGTGAAAAGGAATACAATTCGCGAGGTGTTTTCTAAACGTTTATACTGTTTTAACTTTGCATGGCTACATCTCTTGTGTGAGACGCGAGTGCAGCACTCATATTTGTCCATCTAAAAAAATGCGCTGAATTTGCGTTCTGTGTGAATGGCTTGGTTTCGGTTTTAACCTAATCAAGATCTTCTCCGCATTGAGCTTCTATATTTCTCTAATATTTTGAATGAATAACGCAGCAGCGGCGCGTCTCGTGGGCTAGACTAACAAAACATTAAAATGCAACAACGTCACTTACATCATTATCACCGCATCTCGTGCTCCACTGATGACGCTCCCTGACGCACATCTAACATTGGATTGTACTATTTTTGCATTCAAATGCAAAAGTTTATTTTAAATTCGACTAATATTCTTTTTTTATTTTTTTATTCACAATCTCCTCGTCACAGGCAGGCACAGCACTCATGTTCGTGTTTGTGTGTGCTGTCTGCGTCACTCATAGCACGTGCCTATATCGTGCACTATATCGAATATTTTTTCTATCGTTACCGAAGAGGGTGTACCGTCGATAAATATCGATACCGTTTTATCGCCCAGGCCTAGCTTTAAACTATGTTGCCTTCTCATCTAGCCATGGCAGGGAACATCATTCCAGCAATAGCCACCACTAATGCTGTCATCGCTGGTCTCATTGTTCTGGAGGCGCTGAAGATTCTCAACTCAGACTTCGACCAGTGTCGCACGGTAAGCTTGCGGTGTTACTCCTTTGACACTTTGAAACCCGAATTGCATCGTGTCCTGTCGAATCTAACACATCTTTGCATTTGTTTTTCTCACTTGGTTTAAGGTAATTACATCTCAGCAGTAATCTCAGTTGTAAAGACCTTTTTTGACCTTATTCTGTTTTTGAAAGTCTTGTCAAGTGGTATAGGTGGGAGTTATAGGGCTTGTCCAGAAACTCACACTTGTGGTCTTTGCACTTTCTTACTACTTGTATGACATATTTCCTGTATTTGGCCCAAGTGTTCAAGTGAGCATGAAGACCACAAGTGTGTGTAGAAATTCTCATTACTGGATGGGACATAGCTATAGTGTTATAAAAATGCAACCAATAAAATGTTCAACACTTTGGTTTACTACCACGATCAGCGACAGTGGACATCTTGGAACCGTAATGCAGTGTAAATAAGGGGTTATCCTAGCATTAATGGCAAGGAAAGAAAGGTGTTTTTTGAGGTAATAGTACATTAAAGAGTGATAATGGGACTTATGCACGCCAGGTGAACTGTTAATGTGTGAAAACTGTTTGCATTGCAGTTTTGTGATATATTCCTTTTCCGAATTACCTGAAAAACCATCTCATGTAAGCGTAAAAACTTTTTTGCAATTATATGGGAGTTTTTGCGAAAGTGGTGTGTTTCTATTGGGCTTATTTTAAATTCACAACTTCAATTTGCGCAATTTGAAGGGTAATGGAAATGTGGCTACTCTTGCACACTCACTTCCTATTACTTCCTTATGCCTATGGCCCATAGCCTTACTCCTATGTTGTTGTGTTTTTTTTTTAAAAAAGATCTTCCTGAATAAGCAGCCGAACCCCAGGAAAAAGCTTCTTGTACCATGTGCGCTGGACCGGCCCAATTCCAACTGTTACGTGTGTGCCAGCAAACCTGAGGTCACAGTCAAACTTAATGTGCACAAGACCATTGTGCAAGCTCTTCAGGACAAGGTACCAGTAATTTATTTCAATCCAAAAGCCTTGATGTTTGTGTGATCTCCAAGAGATTCAAGTCTGGATTTAAACGTTAGAGCGTTTATTTATGGTGTTGCTTTTTCAGATACTGAAGGAGAAGTTTGGCATGGTGGCACCAGATGTGCAAATTGAGGATGGCAAAGGAACGATCCTCATCTCTTCAGAGGAAGGAGAGACTGAAGGTGTGAATTAAGTCAGCCTCTAGAGGGCATCTTTCTCTACTATAACATACTCTGAGCTTTGTTTTAATGTGTTGGTCGCTCTGTTTCTCTGCAGCAAACAATAACAAGTTTTTGTCCGACTTTGGGATTCGGAATGGGAGCCGTCTTCAAGCAGATGATTTCCTTCAGGATTACACTCTTCTAGTCAATGTCATTCACAGGTCAGTGTGGCTTCATTTAGCTAAGAGGATGATACTTCGGGTTTCTTGAATATTAAAATGTATCTTGCATTTATTGCAGCGAGGAATTGGAAAAGGATGTCGAGTTTGAAGTAGTGGGTGACGCCCCGGATAAGGCGCCTGCACCAAGTGCCCCGGAAGAAGGGAAAAACATTGCCAACGGTAACAAAGATTCTGCCCAGCCGTCTACCTCATCTAAAGGTAAGAACAACATGGATTGCCTGCAAAACATCAGTCTTTAAAAGAAATAATTCACCTTAAAATTGGAAACAAGCAGCTTGGACATTCTGCTAAACATCTCATTTTGTATTTTACGGGTGAGAAAATTTTGTTGCATTTGAGTAATGTACTTTTCTCATGTTTACAGCAGCTGCAGAGGATGATGACGTCCTTATCATAGACTCAGACGAAGAACCGTCCTCGAGCACCATGGAAGCTTCCCCAGAGTCTAGTAACCGCAAGAGGAAGCATCATGACGCTGATGATGCTGCGTCTAAGCGTAAACGCCTCGACCAGCAGCCGGCCGATGATGATGAAGACATCATCGCTCTAGACTAGCGTCATTCACAAGATTTCACCTGCCCACAATAGAGGATTTTCCTCCAGTTGAATTTTTGTACGGTTTCTCTTACCAAACATGTAAATATATCTGTACAATATGGTTCAAGCTCAATGGATGTCGTCTTTTCCTTCTGTCCTTTGTTTTTTGGGAACAGAAAACGGCTGAGTTATGAACTACACTCGGTTAGGTTTTCCTCAAGATGGATAAAATGCTTTTCAACGTAGTATTTTTTACAATGTGTGTGTCCTCGTATTTTGCAGTGGTTTAGGAAGGCTGACAAAAGTGCTCACGGTATTTTGATGCGTTTTTTTTTCATCTTGAAAACCATATTTATTACAGTTTGTTTTTGTTGACAACCTTAGTAATATTTCTGATCACCAAGTCATTTTACAGTAACAGTGTATTACTGTATGATGGCTGGTATGTCTTCTGTTGCATTGCTTTAAAACCTCAATGAAAAATATTGTGACTTCCTTTTTTTAAGAAAATACACTTAGACAACTATTTACATCTTTGTGTTTCATTCTTATAATTTTAGTCTTTACTTGGGTAGTATAAATGAGCCCATTCCTCATTTACTGACCAAACTAAGCAGCTAAATAAACTAGGGCATCGTCTCATTTAACCTTTATTTACCATGAAAGCATGGTCTTGAAAGGGTACAATGTCCTAATTGCACTTTGTTTACATTAGAATGTTTGACGTAAGAACATTCTGTTTTCTCTTTTTTCATTACTCACGTAGATGTCAGAGTCCACCGTTCACGTGGTATTTGTCGTCAGTAGGGTTAATCGAAGATGCTACATGACACGTTAACCCTTCCCCTAGTTGGCACCTCAACTGAAATGCAAAAGTTTTTGTGTTAAGTGTCAAATTTTGCAGGAAATTGTCAACAGTTTATTTGGTCAAGATACTTTTTTCTGTGTGAATACTATGTTTGCAGAAAAATCTTTTACAGACAAGGAATTAATACCATCTCGTGTCCATTCGGACCAATTTTCGTTTCGCAAACGATGAAAAACGCAGAAAATATAGAAACTATGCTTCCCAGTGCTCACAATGACTAGCTGTTGAGATGCATTATTATGGGATTGAATGAGTGCACTCCATAGTGTCCACCATGGTTTCAGACACTACCACAAATGTCTGTCCGCTTAAATTGTAAACTATGGGTCGTTTTTTTTCATGAATTGGTTCACATAACCGGTTTTGTTCTGAACTCACTTTTCGCACAATTCAAACTCACTGACAAGTCTTTATTAAGACGTTAGTTTTCCACAGTTTTTTTTTTCTGTTTGTATTTATTTGTAATCATCTATCCCGGTTCAGTTTGTCAAAAACTTAATTTAGAGCCTAAATTTTATTTGCATTTAGAATAAATTATATTAAAATAATTTACATTACTCCGTGGAAAACTAACACGTCTTAATATATCGGTTATGTGAACCGATTCATGAAAAAATATTACCCATATTTATATATTATATAAACTGGGTAATAATGGCGACAATTTTGGAAAATATATATATTTATATGTGTGTGTGTGTGTGTATATATATAATATTTTCCACTAAATAATGGTCACCATTATTATATTTACATATATAAATAGGTAATAATATTGTAAATAAATTCCCTAAGTCTTGAACGTGACAACCATTTCCTCGTGTCCTGTCTCGTCCCTCCTATGCATATAATTAAGCCCTAACGCCCCTCAGTGGATGAAGCTGATTGGATTGAGTTTGGACACCCCGACCCCCAGCTGGACGTAGTCCAGGGGATATTTAAATATAATGGGATATTTAAACCTGTCCGTCCACATGCACGTCATTTTAGTCCTGCTGCCTTGACTACAGTGAAAAGCTGTGAGTTTCGTAAGACCCACACAATTGGAAACCTCTAGATCTCCGTTCGGAGGTTGGTAGGTGTTGTTAATCAGCCCTTTTTGCCTTCATCCGCCAATCAGTAGGGCGCGAGGGCAAGCTGGGTGTTGTTGGCACAAGTTCGGCACGAGAGCGCACGCGAAAGGACAATATTTCACATGCCGTGGCGTGACGGCATGACTATATAATTAATTTTTAGGTTATTAAAGTAAACGGTCAACATCATGGTGACACTGACTGCGATCGTCGCGCCTCTCGGTCGGCAGATCCACAGGCATCTGGTGAAGCATGTCAGAAGCCAGCGCTGGATACCATCTCGGACATGTAACTTGTCTGCATGCTCCAGCAAATTAGTTCTCAGTCGAGGTTAGTGCATTTTTTTGCCTTAACATTTTTTGGTTTGTGTCATGATAGAAATCCCACCACCTTGTTTTGGTGAGTGGTCTTTTTGCTAGACTATTTGTGCACTATTTACACCACTAGGGTTTATTACAGATGTTGTAATGTCCTTTATGACTGGGCTGATGATTATACGGTCACAATGTGTATGTTTATTATCAACTAAATCGCCTTCCTGAATTACTTCCGGGTTTTGCGTGAAATGGAATGTTTACATGAAACACGGCGGGAAATGATCACTGCATTGAATGTGTCAGGAAGCTGCAGTAGTTTATCATGTTTTTGTTGGTAAATGAACCTTGAGTGCTATCATTAAGGATGTATGTACTAACCCCATCAGTTTACTTCGTGTTTTACATGTTTCACATGTCACTGTTTTTCCACAAGCCCCGCCCATGAGAGATATGGGCCATGTTTATTATGTCTGCAGAACATTCATTGAAAACGGCCTTGAAGATGCAATATAAGTCACACGAGACAGAGTGTATCTCATTAAAGGACAAATAAAACAGTTTTCCCCCTCCATAAGAGCTCTTTAAAAAAAGAAACTGAATTTTATCAGTTTTTAGTAGTATGAGTGTCAATTTGTTGATTTGTTCTTGATAATTACTGATAATCAAACCAAGCAGATAAAGAAATTTAAACGGGGTACAAGATGGGGTCTATCTATCTATCTATCTATCTATCTATCTCTATCTGTATTCTGTATGTTTTGATAAGGTATGTTTTTATTTTGCTGTTTTTGTCTCATTGGTTGTAAAAACCAACAGTTTTTGAAATGTTGTATTTTTTTTTTTACTTTTTAAAAAGCTGGCGTTCTGCCTACTTAGACAGCATTTTGGGGCATCATGCTTGCATTTACACAGTTTTGATGGCTGAAATCCTGCCTAGATAAACACAGACCTAGTTTTATCTGTTTCCTTATCCTGACTGGTCATTTTCTTCCCAGTGCATCCGATGTGGCAGGAGCCGCTCGACATTCCTGGTGGAGATCGCCAGTCGCCTATTGACATTGTGGTGCGTAAAAGCGTCTTTGATCCACAGCTCAGACCTCTGAAGGTACAATATGACCCAAGGACCTGCCAGCAGATCTGGAATAATGGCTACTCTTTTCTGGTTGAGTACGACGACACAACTGACAAATCCAGTAAGTTACCTTCATTGTCTTCATAACAAAATGGTCCATAGTTGTGACAAAAAAATCTTCTGAAAGAAGAAGATCCCATATTAACTGATTCTGATTTTACAATAGTAATACTAGGAACTATATTACTTTGGTGGAGACTCTGCTTGCTGAGTATGGTACATTTTTGTAAGGAAAAATAATATTTATGTTAGCTTTATCCAAGTAGGAATTTCCAAGGTGTTACCAAGAACACAACAAAAACATTTTGTTTTTAATTGTATTATTGTCTAATAACTCTGCCTGAAATGAAAAAATCAGCTGTTCTGTGGTGTGAGAAAACTCTAAACTCGCATGAATCTCTTTTAGCTCTGAAAGGAGGCCCATTGGAGGATCAGTTCAGACTGTGTCAGTTTCATTTTCACTGGGGAGAGAACAACGCCTGGGGCTCTGAACACTCCATAGACCGCCGCCTTTACCCTGCTGAGGTATTTTTAGTACTTATGTAAAAATGAAGAACACAAAATCACTCCATTACTTACTTAGTCATCTTTTTGAGCCATCTGAATGTCGTTTTTACTATGAGGAAGTATTTCTCTCTTGCAACACAGACAGAGCTTCTCTATAACAGAGGGCGGAGGCTTTACCGTTAGGAACGGCCTGCTATTTCTATTGTAAGATAGTCACCCTCGATAAATATGTGGCACTAACCCAGGACAAGTACACTGTACTGCTTTAACTCTGAGCCAATTACATAAAGAGACATGTGTGAGCGACTTTACTATGCCAAAAAGCCAAGTTTGCCTTTGTTAGCGCTGGTGAGAATGTGACCTCCTTACTGCTCTCAACACTCCTTTAGCTCTACTGATTTGTCTCTGAGCGTGTGTGTGTGTGTGTGTTTAACAGCTCAAATTTCAGTCCTGTAAATGTATCCTGTATTGCGTAAAGTGGTTTCATTCCCGCCTCCTTGGTTAAATCGAATCGTTCCAGAATGAATGGAGTTCTGTCCATTTGTACGGGTGTTGGTTTAAACCATTGCGGTACGTCAAAAGCACAAAAACTAGCTATGTTTAACTGCAGGATTGTGTAACAGGACGAACGACTGTAGTAACCTGAACCAAATGAAAGGCATTATGGGAAATGTGCTCATTAGTATCATTCATACTGGCATGGGTGTGTATCTTTTCTGTGTCATCACAGCTTCATCTTGTTCACTGGAACTCGGACAAGTACAGTTTGTTTGAGGAGGCTGTTATTGAGGAGAATGGACTAGCTGTTATTGCGGTCTTTCTGAAGGTACTGATGTGTGTAATCATTATCAAACTTCTTTTTCTTAGATCTTTAAGCTTAGAAGGCTTTTGTAATTGCAAAAAAAAAAGTACATTTGATTTGTGTTTTTCACAGATTGGAAAGAGACACGAGGGTTTGCAGAAATTGGTGGATGCCTTGCCTGCAGTCAGGCACAAGGTAAGGCATGATTAAACTTTTTATGTTTTGTACACTCTGAGCGTCGGCTTTGTTGTGAGATTAAGATCCTCAGAGCGTGATGTTTTGGAAACAGTGGGATGAGGGATAAACTTGTTCATACATTTTGTTTTATACTTTCAAAGTATGTAATATCCTCATCCTTTTCCATCCAGGATAGCGTGGTAGAGTTCACCAAGTTCGACCCTGCATGTCTCCTCCCGGAGAAAATCGATGATTATTGGACATATGCAGGTTCTCTGACCACTCCTCCTCTTACTGAGGCGGTGACATGGATTGTGATGAAACAGCACATTGAAGTCAGTCATGATCAGGTAGGAGGCCGATATGTTTGGGGAATGTGAAATGTGGAATTGTGGAAATTAAGGGGATATTTTTTCCCTGATAGCAAATTTAACAGTACAACTGGCCAACTGATCTTATTAGAATAGCTCAGCTTTTTCCATATTCCTATGTGTCAGCTTGTTTAAATGTTTCCTCCTATATATTTTTTTCTTTCTTTCGAAAGCCAACACAATTGCTGCAATTGCATTCTCTTGGTACATATCTTTTTCTCCCTTTGTTTGTCTGTTTGTATTGCTTTATTTGCTTAAAAAAAGAATAGCTCCGCTAGAAAAACATATATGTTTTTGCAAATTAAAGTAATTGTGTAATATAAATTACACAATTATAAGTTCACCCAAAAATGAAAATGAATTACCCTCATGTTGTTCCATAGACAGCAACGCAACTACCACTTTCAAGGCCCAGAAAAGTAGTAAGAACGTCAGTAAAATAGTCCATGTGACTTCAGTGGTTTAACCGTAATTTTATGAAGTTATGTGAGAATTTTGTGTGCACAGAAAACAAAAATAACAACTTTATTCAATAATCTCTTCTCTTCCGAGTCTTGAAGCACGTTCATGACAGTACCACAGTAAACACCAATTACCAATAAAGTAATTATTTTGTTGCATAAAGTCATTATTTTTGTTTTCTTTGCACACAAAGTATTCTCATACCTTCATAAAATTACATTTGAACCACAGATGTCACACTGACTATTTTAATGATGCCTTTACTACTTTTCTGGGCCATGAGCCGGGTAGTTGTGTTGCTGGCTATGCAGGGTCAGAGAGCTCTCGGATTTCATCAAAAATCAGTAGTTTTAGTTAAGTGGTACATCCTTGTTTGCTGCAAGGGAATTTCTTTTTTTATGCATGAAACTGCACAATGCCTTTCACTTTTGATTGGTTTTTAGATGTTAAATAATCTTAAGTAAAATGTTAAATAATTAAGTATAAATAATCTTAAGTAATAAACATGTAGAGAGAAAATTGTAAATATTTTAAGACTACGTTTAAATATTGCAGTTTAAATAAGACTAGAAATATAGTCTTTATGAAAGGTGCACTAGACATTTAGAGGTGTCAAAGGAAGAGGAGTAGATTAATGCACACAACTGTTTAGTGAAGATGCATTACTGTACGTGCTGTGTACTTCAGAATTATATAGAATAGTTTATCATCACTTGTGCCTTTTTCATTGTACTCTGTTATCTGATCAACTGCACAAGTGGTTGCCCATAATTGCCTTTCGGCAAAACGTGTGCCTCCAGATAAAGTCTCTTATAGTCATTGTTGTTCTCATCCATTAAGCTCATGATAGTAATTATTCATCTGTTGATCTTTAAAGTGTATTTAGTGTCAGTGATTTTAAAAATAATAACAGAGAAACTGTGTTTAGTGTTTATGTAAGAATGTCTTGTAAAATGTTTTTGGTAGCACCTGGGTGTGTCTTTCCACTCTGTGGCATGAAATACCTTTGAGAGAGGGACCTCTTTATTTTCGAGCATGTGTGTTTTATTAAATTTCTCCACTAGAGGCACACATGAGACCAGGCACAATGTAGAAATGAGATCTACAGTAAGACCAATTGATTGTTATAGGCTAGTTTAATCTTGGTCATTCCGTTTTCCTTTAAACGTGCTGTAAATGGCAATAAGAATGAAACCGTTAAAATGAGACGCTAAGATTGTTTGAAACGTCCAGGACCTGTAATATTATTTATCTGTAAATTAATTGTGCATTTACATCATGGGGAGTTTGAGGTTTTTGGATTGCTGATAATATTTAGAAGGTGGTTGAGAAGTAACATCAATATTCAGTTGTTTCAGGGAGTGCAGAAACAGCAGAAGTTCAGCATGCAGCTTTATAATTGCCAAGAGGCGCTGGTCTCTTTGTGATAGCCGAATAACAATGTTCTTGTATAAACTGTCCCTAAAGTGGCCTCTCGTTTGAATGGGCCACCTGGTTTTCTCCCTATTGGGTTCATGGTTGAAATTCAGAGTGATACTAACAAGACTGGAAAGCTGGATTTGCACTGTACAAACACTAGATTACATGGAGAATGGGATCCATTCCCTACACTTGCCCAAGTCTTTAGCTGCTCTCAGAGTAGTGAACATTCTTTCACATCAGGAGGCCCTGGAACAATGTTTTCTCATTGAAGCAGAGTTTGAAGAGCATATGAAGACACCTTTTGATGTTTTGAATTTGAATTATGCAGTGGATGAATTATCGTTTGAGGTTTTGTGACATTCTGATTCTTTGCTGTAGTGGGTTGGCATGAGGGTCATTTGTCATTTGTATTTTAATGTTTTCCCCTCCACACACTTTTGGTAGGATTTTGCCTCTGTTTAGTGCTTTTTAAGTAGCTTGAGGCCTTCCATTTTTAAGGGAAATTAATAATCACAGTTTAACACTAAAACTAGTTTTGTTTTAAAGACAGCCTCGTCCTTCACTTATCTCAAGTCATTTTCATAACTGTCACTTGTGCTGCCTTTTATACATTTTATGATGCAAATGTATGCAGAACTTTGTTGGATTGCATGCAAACGCTGTATTTTATTCATTTGTTTTGTGGGATTTTTGTAGGAACCTGAAGTCTTTTTACATTTGGGCCATTTTTGGTTGATTTAGTTTTGTTTTACATTTGGGCGGACACAAGCATGTGCCCTAGGGATTTAGGCAGGACGAAGGTGGTGCCGTAGGTTTTATGGAGGCCCCATCCCAGCAAGTGTTGTTGCACCAGGTGCTGGTTAGGTCCGGACTAAGCAGAGGGGGAGCCTACAGACCCAGAGGTGAACATCAACAAATGCACAATGTTTCTACTCATTCATGCTGTCTGATGTACCCGCGGTTTCACAGACAAGGCTTAAAGGGATAGTTCACCCAAAAATGAAAATTCTGTCATCATTTACTCATCCTCATGTCGTTCCAAACCTGTATGAGTTGCTTTCTTATGTTGAACATAAAAGAAGATATTTTGAAGATTGCTGGTAATCAAACAGTTGGTGGTTGCCATTGACTTCCATAGTGGTTTTTTTTCCTACTATGGAAGTCAGTGGCAACCACCAACTGTTTGATTACCAGCAATCTTCAAAATATCTTCTTTTATGTTCAACATAAGAAAGCAACTCATACAGGTTTGGAACGACATGAGGGTGAGTAAATGACAGAATTGTCATTTTTGTGTGAACTATCTCTTTAAGCCTAGTCCCAGACTAAAATGTAAGCCTAAACTGTTTCAACTGAAAGAAACTTGCACTGATTGATCTTAAAACATGTCAGTGCTTTTGTTTTGTCTCAAGATACACACCAGTAATGTTTTTTTCTAAGGCACGTTTATAAAAATTGCTTAAATGTCCTAATTGAACTATGGCCTAATTCTGGCTTTGTCTAAGCCCTGTCTGTGAAACCAGGCCGTTGTGTATTAACATTTTAATGTGTAAAAATGAAAAAAAATAAATAAATAATAATAATAATTGAGCTATGTCTTTATTGGTGGACTGTGAAATCACTATTTTAGATTTAAACCCTTATTTGAAAATGAATTCATAGTGTAACATTAATTATGTAGTTATATAATGTAACATTATATATCATTTTTTAGGTGTACTGTGAATTTAAAGGCTAAAAAAAGTTAAGGCTACTTTTGTTTTATGTTATTGCAAACATTGTTGAAAGGTACTTTTTTTTAGCACTGTTAACACTGTTAAGGTGCTTTGAGTACTCATTTTTGATAACCATGATATGTATTCTTCTCTAAGAGTAAAGAAGATTCCAGGCAATAACCCCAAAACAGTGGAGAGCAAGTTTCACATTAGTTGGAGCTAGACAGCACCTTAAAAAACAATAGACCGACAATAAGGCCGGGGTGTGGGTGTTTAGAAAGGCTGGGGAACCTGGATTGAGTTTTGTCTCAAACTTGGTTCAAAAAGATTCCGTTCCATGTTTGTTGTTCTTGGTTGCATGAGTTATAAAAATGGGACGAGACACTGGGTTTTTGCGTATCCCAAACACACCATGGTTTCCCATCATTGTGTGAGAGCATTTGGAAACATGCTCTTTGAGCTCTAGGAAAAACAAACTATAGGTGAATTGATTAAAGAGCAGCAGATCAAGACTTCTTCTTTGAAAAACGCTGGAGACGGGTCACAGTTGTGATCAATAAAAAGAAGTTATGCAACTGGAGTATCTCAAGGGATAGTGGACGCTGATGTCTTCTGTGGTCTCTTTAGCTGATGATCAAGCATCACTAATTGAATAGAAGTTACAGATGAAAGCTGCTAATGTCAGGCTGCTTCCTCTACTATGGTTTTGTTCTTCAATATTTTTGCAGGTTATTCTTAGACAAAAAGAAAACTCCATTCAGTCCTATTTGCTTTCTATAAACAGGAACCTATGGCTTAAAGATGTTTCTCAGAACTCCAATCCAGTTGCTTTCCTCCCTAAATCAAACAAACTGGGAAAAAAATGTACATCTAAAAATATACATTAAATCTTGTCCAAAACCCAACAGGCCCTCCGAAGTTTCACTTGCAGATGAGAGCTGATTGTTTTCTACTTTTAATGATAACCAGCCCTTGTGGTACCAGGGAACTGAGACACCTGCACCCCTCTCTCCTATAGACAAAGAAAACTGAACTCTTAAATATCAGGGCACAACACAGCAGCAACCATGACGTATCAAATAAAAAGTCACCCGCTGTCTCATTTATCTTTAAGCTGAGCAAACATACACCATAAATACAATTTAATTCTCGTGATGGGGAGGCTAATGTAAAAAAAATTGCAAATGAGAGCATGTGCAAAGAGAATGCAGGTGGCAGGTTTTTCTCAAACATGCCTTGATGAACAATCTTAAAACCGGTCATGAAGTTCATAAGTATTAGTACAACACACTTGCCCCCTGCAGATTATACTCTCCAGGTCATCAGAGATTGATACCTTGTAGGCATGTGACATGCAAGTCTTTCTCTTTGAAACACAAAAGCTTTTGGATGAAATCTAAGTTGTTGTTTTGTTTAATTTGAGAACCAATATCTTTAAAGCCCACAGGGATGTGACATTTGTGATGTTTCAAGGGCCTTTACCTGCAAACAGGAAATTAGCAGGGACAACTTTGTTATTTTTTCATATGTTTCTTCAGACATTACGATCAAAGGAATTTGAGTCTAAAGAATT